TGCATGATCAAACACCTTTTAGGGTTTTTTACCTTTTGAGCATAAAAGGTTCAACAGGGCCTGTCCGGATGTACTTTAGCCCTATCCCTAGGCCCAGTCCTCAGCACCTCTTGGGCTAGCTTTAAATTCATGTCTGCTCTGGTATACAGCAGTACCCTCGGGGCTTTCTCTGTGGAGTCTCTCATCCTCCCTGTTACTTGGGCCTCTAAACAAGCCTTATGCTCTGCCCCAATGGCGAGTGAGGGGACTCAGTCACATTCACTGTTCCAGAGCCTCTGTCTTTCTTTCTGTCTTTCTACAGAGTCTCCTATCAGCTGTTGCACTCATCAGAAAGGTCTTCAGTGCCTCAGCCCTCTGGTAAGTCACATAGTTAAAATGCATGATCAAACACCTTTTAGGGTTTTTTACCTTTTGAGCATAAAAGGTTCAACAGGGCCTGTCCGGATGTACTTTAGCCCTATCCCTAGGCCCAGTCCTCAGCACCTCTTGGGCTAGCTTTAAATTCATGTCTGCTCTGGTATACAGCAGTACCCTCGGGGCTTTCTCTGTGGAGTCTCTCATCCTCCCTGTTACTTGGGCCTCTAAACAAGCCTTATGCTCTGCCCCAATGGCGAGTGAGGGGACTCAGTCACATTCACTGTTCCAGGTCATCATGATCCACAATTCCTATAAATAACAGCCACATGCTACTTCCTACCATAATTGTTGCTGGCTTCCTCTTCGCCATTACTCCAGGTTTCTTCTGCTTGAGCAGGGTCTCTTTCAGGCTGCCTCACCTAGGGTATGTCTACACTACAGCGCTAATTCGAACTAACTTAGTTCGAATTAGTTAATTCGAACTAAGCTAATTCGAACTAACGCATCTAGAACTAAAAACTAGTTCGAATTAGCGTTTTGCTAATTCGAACTAGCGCGTCTACATTAAGTGGACCCTGAACCAGGCTTAAGGATGGCCGGAAGCAGTGCCGGCAGGGCATCAGAGGAGGACTTAGAGCGTGGAGATGCTGTCTCAGGCTAGCCGAGGGCTGTGCTTAAAGGGTCC